GTGGGTCAACAATATGAGATACACTCTCTAAATGAAGGCGATTCAACGCACAATGTAATCGTCCTGACCCTGGGAGCAATAGAATTAAACTATTTGCAACCCCACAAAAGAAAAATAACAAATTGGTCAAACTACAGAAGAATTGTGAGCGAAAACATCGGTAACATTCCAACAATAAATAACATCACAGAACTAGAAGACACTGTAACAAAACTAGAAAACACGATAACAAACGCTATCGATGCCAGCTCCAAAACGGAAACAGTAGCAAGACAAAAAGGAAGATTCGGAGACATAAGTCACGAACTACAAGAATTAATCCAAGAAAAGAACAGAAAAAGAAGAAGAGCTTACCGTACTAGAACAGTAGAAGACAAAAGGATTGCAAATGAGCTAGACCGGGAAGTTAAAAGACAACTACGTAATCACAGAAATGAAAGCTGGGACAACTATATCCAAGATCTAGACCCTAATAAATCTGCCTTCTGGAAGTTATCAAAAATCCTCCGACAGGACAAGAAACCCATACCTCCACTACACGGAGTAAACGGGATTGTCCATACGGAAATAGACAAAGCTGAAGTCCTAAAGGACGAACTAGAAAGAGCATGCAGAAACAATGAAAACCCCAACGAAGACATAGACTTCGAAGAAGAGGTAGAAAGAACAGCCAGAAGAATAAAGAGAAGAAAGGGCAGAGTAGGAATTACACATACCTCCCCCGAAGAAATAAAAGAGCTTATAAAGCTAACTAACGCCAAAAAAGCCCCAGGTCCTGATAATATCACAAACAGGGCACTGAAAAATCTACCCAACAAAGCTATTGTCTACATAACAAACATCGTTAACAGCATGCTTAAACTACGATATTTTCCAGATAGATGGAAAGAGGCACATATAATCATGATAAAGAAACCAGGGAAAGACGGCGCTTTTCCACAAAATTACAGACCTATCAGCTTATTATCATCAATAAGCAAGATAGCAGAAAGAGTCATACTAAAAAGACTCAACGATGAATCGGAAGCACTAGGCACCATACCAGAAGCGCAATTCGGATTCAGAAGCGAACATTCGTGTGAACTACAAGTTCTACGGTTCACGGAATTTGCAACGAAAGGCTTTAATGAAAAAATGTACACGGCAACAGCATTTCTGGCCGTCAGTAAAGCATTTGACAGCGTCTGGCATGAAGGACTCATATACAAAATGAACACCATGGGGTACAGCGAGGCTATGACATGCCTCCTTGGATCATACCTAGCCAACAGAAGGTTCAGGGTTCGAACAGGGGCAACCCTGTCCGAAGTCGGAATCCTGGAAGCAGGTGTGCCTCAGGGAGCTGTGCTGTCGCCTTACCTGTATACCATCTATACGGCCGACACGCCAAAAGAACCAGGATCCCTGTTGAGTCTTTACGCTGACGACACAGCAATAGCTGTTAGCTGGAGGAATCCAGATCATGCAGCTAATCATCTGCAGAGAGCACTAAGTAGATTTGAAAGATGGTGCATCAAATGGAAAATCGCCTTAAACCCGGACAAAACACAGGCTGTAATGTTTAGTCACAGAAGAAGTGTACCTAACCGCGAATTAATGATCGGAAACACCCCAGTAGAGTGGACAAATGAGGCCAAATACCTAGGGGTGTTACTAGACAAAAAACTCACCTTTACGCAGCACATAAACCAGCAAACGTACAGAGCCAAAGCGCTGAAAAGTCAGCTCTCAACGCTTATAGGCAGAAGAAGCAAGCTAAGATTTAAAACTAAAATCAGAATAGCTAATAGTATTATCCTGCCAGTCCTATCATATGCCTCCGCAGCATGGGGACACACCTGTAAAACAAACAGGAAAAAGATACAGACAGCTCAAAATCAATTGATAAGAGATGCTCTAAATCTACCGAGATATGTACCTCTGAGAAATTTATACAGAGACTCAGGACAAACAAGGATCCTACATACAATGGATAAAAAGGCATATGAACTTTTTAACGGATTAAATAACCACCCAAGTAGCATGCTAAGAGAGCTGACTAACTACAATGCAAACACCAGGACACTACACAGAAGACCTAAACAGCAAATAGCCGGATATAGGGTCCCAAACTAATAAATGAAGAATGAGATGGTCGCAAAAACGTCAAATAAAAAAGAATGCAGTCATCAGAAAAACAACCCCCAAAAAAATATCTTATTTTTAGGACTCTGGCGAGAGGGTACAGGTGCCAAGGCACTTAGTTAAGGACAATATACACCGGGGTGTGTGGAGGCCATATACACCCTGCAATGCACACCCCACCACACCGCACACTATTTAGCATGTAAGAGTAAAAGGGTAAGAATTGTGCAGGCATTTTATTGTTCCATCGCCAAGGAAGACCCCCCAAACCCAAAAAAAAAAAAAAAAAAAAAAAAAAAAAAAAAAATGGTTGCTTTTCTTTTAAATTAAGTAGATCTATTTCAAATTAAATCAAATAACTAAACGTAACGTAATCTAATACCAATTTTCTATATAGAAGACCCGTCAGGCCTTCTATATACCGCTGATGCGGAATTGGCCCTTAAGGCGGATCTAATGTACACTGATCCTTTCGCGACTCCCGAGCACTGAGACCATGTGCGGCAAACATGAGCTTGGTGGCCGGACCCTCTCGGGTGCCCAGCCGGCGAGGAGAACAAAATTTATTTTGCCAAATCGGCGGCTGAGTGACCGAGCACACACATATCTTTCCGGGCATGAAGTCGACAGCCCAGGCTGTCGACTTCATGTGCGGAACACACACGCTATTTTTATTATTTTTTATGTTAGGGACTTCAGTCCCGAAGTGCAGTCCGAGTAAAATCAATAGAGTCAGTAAAGTAATTAGGGAGAAAAGCCTAGATGTGGCTACCCCTACAGTTAGGTGGCATAACCACAGTCATTAAAAACAGGAGATGTCTCATTACCCAGGGCATCTCAGGTAACTTTCAGATCATAGCCTCCTCACGTCAGTCGTACGATGAGGAGGGGTGGAGGAAAAGCCTGGGGGTCAGATAGGTACCACTTCAACTAGTGAAGTGTGACCGGTTTGATCTTCGGACATGTGGATCCCATTCTTATATTGGTATACACATGTTCCTAGGGGTAGGGTTGATCGCTTAGCGTGATTGTGTGTGTGAGGTAGACAAGTTCACATATTTGGGATCAGTCATGAAAATGAACGGGTATAAAAAGGATGTACAGATAAAAATAATAAAGGCTTAACATCCATTCAATGCTTTAAATAAGATTTGGCAAACAAACGAAATATTCTTCTTTTTCTTCTTCTTTTTATATAGATATGACTCTGTCTGTTTTTCAATGTGCCTCCAGTATGTTGTCATTCCTTCTTTTTCCTACTGATCGTCTTCCTATTTGGGAACCGTCCCTTGCCGTCTTTACCACTCTGTTTGTTGTCATTCGGCTTATATGTTAGTTCCATTCTACTCTTCTATTTCTTACCCAGTTATTGATGTTCTCCACCTTGCATCTATGTCGTATATCTGTACTTCTAACTCTGTCCCATAGTGTCTAACCGTCAATTTTTCTATGTGTTTTCATCTCTGCTGTTTCTAACATCCTTTTTGTCCTGTCTGTGTTAGGTCTTCTTTCTGCCGCATATGTCATTATTGGTCTGATGACTGTTTTGTAAATTCTGCCTTTCGTTTCTTTCCCGATATTTTTATTTCTCTATATTGTTACATTTAGGCAGATTGCGGCTCTGTTTGCTCTATTCACTTGATCTTCCACTTCGGTTTCGAGCTATATTTAAACTCCATCACTTGTTCTATTATCTGACCTTCCAGCTCCAATTTACATCTTAGTAAATTTGCTGTTGTAACCATGAATTTTGTCTTTTTTGGGGAAATTAACATTTTAATAATAACATTAACATTAAATTGGTGCAGCATATGTTGTAAATCATCTTTACTTTGAGAGAGTAGTATTGCGTCGTCTGCATAGCAGATTATTTGAAGTTGTTTTTCTCCCATTTGGTATCCTTTTTTAGTTCTTAGTCTTATTCCATTGCCAGCTTTAATAGGATCGGTTAGTTCTTCTTCTACTTTTACTTTTATTGTGTTGTTTTGGTAGATATTTTCGATCGTTTTGATTATTCCTAGAGGTATCTCTCTTGCTTACAGTAAGTGGATAACGTCTCTTAATTTGATCCAGTCAAATGCTTTTGTAAGGTCCACGAAACATAGATGTGCCGGTTTGTTGTATTCTAATCATAGGCCTCTCTTGCACTTGCCTCATTATAAATATAGCGTCGGTGTATGATCTTCCCGACCTAAAACCTTGTTGTTCGTCTGCTACTGTTGTGTAGTAACACTGCCTGGGGTCATTGCAGGGTGGATTGATTATCTCTGTGGTTACCACAGCCGGTCGTAAGCCCAAATAAAAAGTGTAGATTGATTGGCAAGGTTAGCAACCTACCAATCGTAAAAACAAATACTGCTCAAAGAAACAATGTACAGCCTCGTAACCGGATTGATACTATGAGGACAACTACGGCAAGAAACGAAATCAGAGACAACAAAAATTAAAATGTTTAATAGTTACATCAAACGTATACTACTTTACGAAGCAGAAACATATAAGAATTCTTGTTCCAAAATACTGCTTACTAGTTAAACAATTTAAACACTTAGATTATTAATTTAAAATAACTTTGGTTCACCTCTCGTAAGATTTGTTTTCGATCGCGCTGAAAAAAAATATTTGTTGACTATTGAGTCATTTAAATGTATTTCTGCACAGGTAATTAACACAGATATAGCAATCAAAACCATCCACCTCTTTCTCTTATTCGCGGTTTTCGATAATTTCGATCTACTTTTATCCCCCCTTCGACTTTTCTTCTTCTTCATGAGTGAGGGTCACGGTCGTAGCAGCTGAAGGAGGTCAGTCTTCGACTTCACTAAGCGCTTCTTCATTTCTTCGTAAAAAATTGTTTTAAATTTTTATCTACCAGCATGAACTATTGGTCGTTTTTCTGTGCACTTTTTGCTGTTCTTTGTTTTGCCAGAGCTGAAAACTGTAAGTATATATTTTAATCAATATTGCAATAAGAAGAATAATAAAACGAAAAATAATTAGACGAAAACCAAAGTAAATTATGTCAGAATAATTGAAATGAATTTTTTTTAATATTCTGTTAATATATCAATTTCATTTAGCCTATATATATATATTAGACTATTAATTTCATATAGCCTAGCGGTTGAGCATTGTAATTTTGTTATTGCATATTTTCTACTTTGCATAAACGTTATTACTCTCCTCCTAGTTTTTACAATAATTAGAAAATATACCTAATAAAAACACAATAAGTGTTTTAATATTAACATACATCAAAATGGGTGAAAATATTCAGATATAGAATTGGTTAGCTTATTTACATTTTTTTCTTCAGTAGGTGAATATCCAAACAAAACTACAATTTAAATTAATACAAAAGCCTTGGCGTTTAATTGGATAGATGTCTTTCTTGTTCAAAATATTGAAAATAAAAACTAAAAAGCAATTAAACTAACAAATTATATAAAAGAAAGCGTCAGTTTCAGATAAAACTAATTAATAAGAAGAATATCCGAAATCTAGTTGGTTATTGATTCTTAATCTTAGTCTCTATATTAAAGTTTGCTAATTTTCAACGTTTCATATACCTCTAACCCTTTACTTTGTGAAACTAGCTTTATGTTCAGTTATACGTTTTTTAAAACCTCTACATATCTGACCCATTTTCACTTATATCTATCTATCTATAGCCCAAAATCTATTCATGTGTTGAATATAGGCCTCTCCCATTTGTCTCCATTTGTCTCTGTCTTCTGTTTGTCTTTTCCACATTGGACCTGTGCTTTGCTCATTGTCATCTTTCCATCTCATTTGCGGTCGACCTCTTGACCTCCAGCAGCCAATTTCTTTATTCCATCTTCCATCCTGATATCTTTCGTAATGCCCAGCCCATTTTCTTTATTCTATCTAAGTTGCTCTTGGTACACGTCCACGTCTGGGCACCATATGTCAGAACAGGTAAGACGCATGCATTAAATACATTCGTTCTTAATTTTAAAGGTATTTTTTGGTTTTTGATAGTATATGAGAGTTTTCCGAATGTAGCCCACCCCATTCTTATTCTTCTGGTTATTTCCTTAGTCTGGTTACTTTTGTCTGCTCTGATAGCTTGTCCTAAGTAAATATATTTTTGGACATGTTCTATGTTTGTTCCATCTATGGTAATTATTGATCTGTCTTCTGGATTAGTCATTATTTTAGTTTTCTTTAGATTTATTTTTAGTCCTTTCTCAAGAGATGTTTTTTCTAGGTCTGAAATCATTATTCGTAGTTGTTCCATAGTTGTTACTATCAGGAATACATCGTCGGCGAATCTTAGATGATTTAAATATTTTCACGTATTATAGGAATATACACTACAAGTGATTTTATATGTAGCTCAACTTCAGGTTAAAAAAATAAGATAAAAATCGAGTGGGCCGGGTGGCTTGAACTGGTACTGATACCGGTACCGGTAGTTCGATACCTGCTGCCAACAAAAGTAGTGATATATTTTTAAAAATATCCAAAAATACCCAATCTCCCCAGTCTAAATAAAATAAATATCTTGGGTGAAATACTTAAGTATCTTAAGTATTATACCACAAATGATTTTATATATAGCTCAACTTCAGGTTAAAAAAAAATAAGAGAAAAATCGAGTGGATTGGGTGCTCGAACTGGTACTGATACCGGCAGTTCGATACCTGGGGCAAACAAAAGCCGTAATATATTTTAAAAAGCATCCAAAATTAACCAATCGTCCCAGTCTGAATGAAATAAGTACATATCTTGGGTAAAATCATGGGCAATAATAAGCGATTGAAGCATATCATCGAAAAGATTATTGCCATAAGTTTTCTAGCTCCACTAGACCACGATTTTTTTGGTAATGTTTTTCTCTTTTGTTCTTGGTCTCTACGATTAATTTAACTGTTGCGCTTTAGCCTTTCATCTTCACATCAGTTATTATTCTTAGCAGGTTGTATTTGTTATTTTTCATAATATAGCCTAGGTACGAAGTCTTTCTTTTCTTAATCGTTGTTAAGTTCTAACTCTTCGTTTACAGAGTTAATACTGTTCGATTCGTTATGTGTTGTCTCCATGATATCCATTTTACGATAAACCATATTTCAGCGACTTTTAGCAGTCTCATGGTATTTAATTTTAATGTCCAGGCTTCAAATCCATACAGAAGAACTTATCTCAATGTGACAGTTCTGCGAGTGAATCAGTTTTGCGAATTACCGTTACTTTAGTTTTTTGAAGATTTATTGCCAGTCCGATTGCTTTACTTGCATTATTAACTCTGTCTAGTATAAAATAAGTATCTTTCATTTTTTCTGCTATCAGAGCTGTATCGTCTGCATGCCTGATATGTTTAATATATTATCATAGTTTGAATATTTATTCACACTACAAGTTAAAACGCAATGAAGACGTGACACAGCCTTGTCGGACACATGTTTATATATAAACGCTGGAGTCCTATTTCCTTCAATTTTACCTTGTAAAATGCATTGAAGTAGCTCGTATCTGCCTTGATTTCTCATTATATAGGCCAAGTACTGCAGCTTACGGTCCTTCACGATAATGACCAAATCCGCAGTTGTGTTCATTCTCCGCAGTACTTCTTCATTGGTGACTTTGTCTGTCCGTGGTATCTTCAAGATCTTTTTGTATGATCATAGCTCAAAAGCCTGAAGTTTTGATAGAGTTTCCGCCTTTAATGTCCAAATTTCTACTCCGTATAGAAGCACTGAGTACACATAACATTTAAGGAGCCTTATTTTTGATTCTAGGGTGAGGTCATGGCTCTTGACTCAGAGTCAATAATGCACTCTTTGCCTTTCCGATGCGACATTTAATCTCTTGGGTATTGTCCCACGACTCATTGATTCTAGTACCCAAGTATGTGAGACTCGTTCAATACTCATTTGGTTCACATATTCTCCAGTTATGTTTTCCTTGCTGATGATCATTAGCTTGGTTTTGCTGGTATTTATATCTAGTCCATATTTTCTACTTGTTTCCGTTATTTTGTTCATTAAGTTTTGCAGCCCTTATATAGTATTGGAAAACACTATTGTATCATCTGCATACCGCAGGTTATTGATTTTGACTTCATTTATTGAGATACCTTTATCAATATCTTTTAGAGCCTCTTCAAAAATCTGCTCCTAGTTCAGATTAAATATCAGTGGTGAAATTGTGCATCCCTGCCTCACTCCCCTTAAAATTTTAACCTGATCTGTATATTCTCCATCTATTCTGAGTACCGCTGATTGATTCCAATACAGTTTAGCTATTATTTTTAAGTCTTTTCCGTCAATTCCTGTCCTCTTCAGCACTTTCATCATTTATTCATGTCTGACTCTATTAAAAGCCTTCTTGTAGTTAATCAGGCATGCAAAAACATTACAGTTGACATCTCTACATTTCTGAAACAATATCTGCACGCTAAATAAAGCTTCCCTCGTACCAACTACGTTCACAAATCCAAACTGATTGGGCGCAATTTGTTCCTTGCATTTCCGGTAAATTCCTTTGGGGATGACCTTTAAAAACAGCTTCAGCAGATGGCTCATTAGGCTTATGGTCCTATAATCTTCACAAACTAATGCTCCTGGTTTTTTGGGCAATGGTACGAACTCCGATTTGAGTCATTCTACTGGTATTTTTCCTGCATTGTATATTTCATTAAATAGTTCAGTTATTATTTTTATTTGTTCTTCTTCTAATAGCTTTAACAGTTCTACAGGAATTTCGTCAAGACCCGGTACCTTTCCATCCTTCATTTGTCTGACGGCTGCCGTTATTTCTTCTGGTAGGATTTTGGGACCTGAATTTTGTTCAATGGTGGGCTCTTGTATTGTTCTAAGGTCATGGAAAAGCTTCTCCAAGTATTCTTCCCATACTTTCTTTTTATCTTATCTTATGGTTATGGCAAGATTGCCTTCATCATCTGTTATTTTTCCGTTGTTGCATTTTCGGAACTTTCCAGCTATTTGCTTCACCTTTCGATGAACATTGAAGTTATCATATCGACTCTGATACTCCTCATTTCCCGACATTGTTCTGTTTTTTGTTTCTCTTTGACTTCTCTTATTTTTCTTCTGATGATAGTATGTATTCTCTTATATTCTTGAAGATTTTCTTTGTTTTTTTTCTCTGATCCAGGAGTTCAAGTATTTCATCGGTCATCCACGATTTTCGTTTCTCTGTATCTTTCTTCAGATGTTGTTCTTTTATCTCTTTCACTGTTTTTTGTATGATGGTCAGACTTTCCTCTATAGTTCCTGCATTTTTGCATTTTAGCACCTTTGTATTGAGGTTTTCACTCACCTTTAGTCGAACGTTGGGATCTTTCAGTTTTCTAACATCATATTTCTTCATCGACTGCATATAATTATCTATAAAACCTTCTGCTACAGCAGTCGATTTTCAGCCACCTAGTTTTTTAATAGCTGAAAAGTCTGTACCATTGTCACACAGTATTGAGGCGTCAAAAGATACGTCTAAAACAATGCCCAGTGTAAAGAAGGGGGTGCTCTAATTTTAAGAATTTAGCAATAACGCAAATAAAAATGAAAAATCGTTTATGTGGAATGTGTGCCGGTCTTAAAGAAATATAGTTTTTGATCGAATTGAGAATAGTATTTGCTTTGTTATCTATCGTGGTAAATATTCTATTTGTTTATGTTTTTGATACTTTTATTGTGACAAGAAATTTTGACCCCAAGTCTTGAACGTTATTTGTTTCTAATTTCAATAGTTCGTCCTTTCTTAACGCACCAGCCACTCCGAAAATCAATGCAACCTACAAAATGAAATGTTATGAAATGCGAGTAATAAATATATAAACTTAATTTACTGGTTTACCTTTATCATTAGAAACACGTCGTTAGGAGCATCAGCAACAATGAACAATGACAGATAGTACTAACAGCAGCTACTTTATTTTAAATTTTTTAGTGGGAATATAAATTAGTATATGTTTGGTTGCCTACACCACAGGTCACTGCCAATCACAGAGCGTTTAATTAATTCATGTAAGCAATGTATGCTGTGTTCTTTTAGACAGACCATTCACGTTCTGACTTTTAGTCCGACTAGTAGTCCTACTTCTGCAGTTGGATCTGAAATCGAACCGTGATTGGGCTAGTTGGATTAGTTGGACAACTAGTGGTACGAGTCAGAACATCTAGTGGGACGACTTGAAGGTCCGACTTCCGACTGGTGACGAAGTCAGAGCTTGAATGGTGAAGTTGGAAGTTGGATCACAGGTCGGATCGAAAATTTCCTCAATCAGTTGACCTTCGGCACCTGTTACGTATGAGATTTTTATGAAATAATTTACGCAAATATCTCTAGTTCGCTCATATTTAATAGAAAAGAAACTTCCAATTGCACGAAAATTACCTTTTTGTTAGGTCAAATCATTTTCCTTTCTGTAGATCTATTTCGGACATTCCCATACAGGTACAATTTCCAACACTCTGGATTGGCTACGGAAGAATTATCACCATCAAAAAAGTCGATATTTTCCTAATTACTTAAAGGAACATCTAAAACGTTTTCACACAATTATTAATATAATTATTAATATAAAAAAATTATTTTAAAAATTTGTTACAATGTAACTGCATCTACTGCAATTATTGATAATATGTATTCATATCACGTACTATCCATTAATTATAATTATATTTTTACTGTATTACGACTTTAATTTTAATCAAATTGGATTGATTTGATTAAATTGGAATAACGATGCGTCAGGCTACAACTGGACTCACTTTTATAGCTATCCAATTTACTGTTACCTCCAAGAAAATATGTGTCGAAAGGTTAATGTCCATCGTTTTCGTGAACAGAAGGCCGGTCAACCTCGATAAATTTGTTAGTCTTTATTGATGCATCAACGAACTTAATTAAATGACATGTAGTATTAATAACCAAGAGGAATTTTTTAATATTTTGTATGGCTTTGGGTGAAAATATTTTCACAGAGTAGATTATCTAGTTTATAAATATTATTTAGATATACATTTACATGTATCTAAATTGAAATGTCGAATAACCAATAAAGTAGTCCTAAAACTACAAAACTACACCATTAAAATAGGGCAAAGAGTATTTTATATGAAAAAGGGATATGAGAAGAAATATAAATATATGATAATCAGTTTGGATTTATGCAACGCAGACCAACAACAAATAAAATTTTCATTAAAAAGCATCTAATCGAAAACACATAGGAAAATATGAATAAATAAAATGCCTGTTGGGTTTAATCAACGTAAACTGAGCTTGTCGGTATTTCGAGAAATATCGGGTGACCTTGAAAAAAGCGCATTCTTTGATCTTTTGTCAGCTTAAACAGGTCTATAATAGCTTTCGAATAGGTATGGAACAGGTCTAGAGCATCTTAAGGCAGATCTAGATCTAGTTTAAACTGTTCAAGACATGTTTATAGCTATTCTATAGAAAATGTCACACTGAGAGTGCAGTACGGGTAAGATACGGTAATGCTTTTCTTATGGAGAATAAACGCGCAGGGTTGTCAGTTTTGCGCAGGGTTGTCGGTTTTCTCCAGCTTTTGATTGCTCATTGTCTCACAGGACCGGCTTGGATAAAATGCATTTGCTGGCAGTACGAGTAAAATATTTTATATCATGTATACGTATACACTAGAATAAAAAGGCATTGATGAGTTATTGACAACGAAAACTATTAATTTTGCATATAAAACGTCAATATGAGATATACAATTGAATCATATTCATAAGAGTAACATTTAAACACCTCTTTACAAGAACAACATACAATAACTGTAGTTTTAATGTTTTACATAAAATAGAAAAAACCTACGATAGGATTTGATATTAGGAAATGATATTATTTATTAATATTATATATAATATTCAAATTTCCAATTCTTTCATAGAAATTAGATTTTTTCTATTGTATGTAAAATATTAAAAATACAGTTATGTTTTTTCTATAAATAGGTCTTCATTTCTTTTGTAAAACTTCTGCTACAAATTACTATCATTAACATAATCACCTAAATATGGCCATAAACTTGTTTGTCATAATTAGTATTTGATAAACTCCAAGCTTTCCCTATTTCACCCCATACCCATCCTAAGGATATATGACATTATAAGACAATGGACGCAAAATAAAAAAGAATGGAATAAGCACATAAGCAGAATGAATTGGACCTATGTCGTCAAAATAGCAAAAGACCGCGCAAAAGATGGAGTTACAACTTTCCATAGAGGTATTAATCCGCCAATGACCAAGCAGAATTGCTCATAAAGAGGAAGAAGAAGAAAAAAAGGAGGTTCATCTGAAAGATTAATCTTCAAGTACGTTGTCTTCACCATTTCCGCTCTATATCTTTGGTTCTTCAATGGTATCTATAACTTTGGTTTTTCAAATGAATCACCCTGTATATTCAGTCATTATTAGAATCTTCTATTCAATACGAGTTCAACTAAATGTAACACTTATGATTTTTTATAGTCTGGAAGGTCTTAAATACATAAAACAGAAGTCTGCCAACGCCTAATTGTTTCAATAAATTTTTTTATACTAATTATTTTCAACTACATGAAAACGCAACAATTGATAGATTAGACCATTTTTTACCAATAGTTACGTTATTAAGTTTTCAAAATATGCTCAATTTGTGAGTTGACAGTACCCTAATCGATGGTAGAATGCGTCTACCACATTTTTCCATGATTGTCTAGAAATTATTTGAGATTAATCAATAATTCGTTGCCTTTGCTCTGCAAGACTTGACTGGTTAAGTTTTGTAAACTGAATTTTTAAAGTATCCCTAATAAAAATAATCTTTAGGATTGAAATCGGGTGAACGTAGAAGCCATTCAATTCTACCTTGTCTACCAATTTATCGTACGGAAAATATCTCATTTAAATAACGCCGAACATTTACACCAACTATCTGACGTTAAATTTCCTTCGATAAAAAATGACCCAATTGACTAAGTACCTACTATACCTGATCATAGATTTAATTTTTGTGGTCTGGTATGGTTTTCACGCATTCAGTGTGAATTTCATACGAGTTCAAAAATATGTAACACTTATGATTATATGTAGTCTAGAAGGTATTAAATACATAAAACAGTGCAAAATATGTAGATTTTAATAAATTTAAATATTTAAATGTAGAATGCTGTGATATTGACATTTGTTCACGATTTACATTATAAACTAAAACTGACAGTAGTTGTGTTTCGAAAAGTTCTGCAATTTACATTGCTTCTCTAAAATGCCGTTCTCTAAACCGTTCTCCTATTCATGAGGCGACGGTACAAAAAACTGTAAAGCGATTTGAGATATCTAAATAAGGTAAAGACAGATGGAAAGAGAAAAGTTTTGTTGAAGATCCACATACATCCTCAAGCAGGGTTGCGCAAGTACATAATGTAGGTCGTTCTTCAGTCTTATGTATATTACGTAAAAATACGTTTAAACCATACAAAATAAACTTATTGCAAGAATTAAGTGAAGATGACTTCGATCTTAGATTAGAGTTTACTGAGGTAATGATGGATAAAATTGAAAATTATTAAAATTTCGTTAATAGAATATGGTATCCGATGAAGCAATCTTTACACTGTGTGGAAGTGTAAATCGACACAATTTAAGGTACTGGAGTGACGCAAATTCACACTGAATGCGTGAAAACCATACTCAAAGACCACAAATATTAATGTATCATCAGGTATAGTAGGTACTCAGTCAATTGGGACATTTTTTATCGAAAAAAATTTAACGTCAGATAGTTGGTGTAAATGTTCGGCGTTATTTAGATGAGATATTTCCCGGACGATAAATTGGTAGACAAGGTAAAATTGAATGGCCTTCACGTTCACCCGATTTCAATCATAAATATTATTTTTATTAGGATAGTTGAAAAATTCAGTTTACAAAACGTAACCAGCAAGTCTTGCAGAGTTAAGGCAACGAATTATTGATGAATCTCGAATTGTTTCTAGACCATCATGGAGAAATGTGATAGACGCATTCTACCATCTATTAGGGTACTGCCAACTCATAAATTGAGCAAATTTTAAACACTTAATAATGTAACTATTGTTAACAAATATTCAAACCTATCAATTGTTAAGTTTTATTGTAGTTGAAAATAATTAGTATTAAAAAATTTATTGAAACAATTAGGCGTTGCCAGACTTGTGTTTTATGTATTTAAGACCTTTCAGACTACATAAAATCATAAGTGTTATATATGGTAACTCGTATTGAATAGGAGATTCCAATAATAACTATATATACAGGGTGATGCATGTAAAAAACCAAAGTTACTAATAACACAAGAGAAACGGAAAATCTGGCAACATTGCAAATATCAAATATGGAATCTCCGTATCCCAAAATAGGTGTACCTCAAATTTTGTATAATTATAACTAGCAGTTTACGAGATAATTGGCGGTTTCCAGACTTTTGGGCCACTCTGTATATTATATTAGTTATTATTATTATATTTATATACTGCTATATAAATATTAACAGTTAATTCGTTTTGTTATTAAATTAAATTATACCTTGCCGTAAGGTGTAATTATCAAATTAAAACAAAAAGTTTTGTGCCTGATTTAATTAACTAGAAAATTATTCTCAGATATACCGCAGAAATTAAGTCTTAGACTCACGAGTGTTCTACTCTGAAGAGTATCAATATTGTCTATTTAGTTAAATAGTAAATTACCGTAGTGATCACAAGACATACTTTAATTGGAAAATATTCCCTCAATTGGCGGTTTTTTCTTACTTATCTAACAATTTTTTATATTTTCAGATTATTTCATAAAAAAATGCTACAAAGAAGACAAAAATATTAACATCTGTCTAAGACAATCCACGAATTTCTTGATTGCTAACCTTAGAAGAGGTATTCCTGAACTAGACGTTTATGATCCGGAACCAATAATTATAGATCAGATTCAACTAGCTTTGGGAACGGGTCCAGATGGTTACCGAGCAACTTTTAGAGATATAGAAGCGTTTGGTGTTAGCAATCTTACCGTCACCGCTGTAAGGTAAATAGAATAATTTTTTATATAAAGGCGGATCATATAAAGATGCAATGATTGCAAGTCCTTATTATTATTCAGATTATGTATGTATCTAGAGTGTTAACAGACAATTTGGGCCCGTTGCTGGATGGATAATAATAATTCCATCGTTTTCTGTTCTTATCTGTTAGCTTCCAGTCTCTGATACCCATCTCTCTGACATCTTCTATCACTACATCTCTACATCTGAGTCATTCTACTCCACGTTTTTCACTACTTTTGTTATTGCAGGGTTAGCATACAATTGAAACACTTCTTTTCCATACTTTCAATTTGTTCTGTATGGTTTTGTTCATAGTCCATATTTTAGCAGTGTATAGTATTCTGGGCTAATTATAGTTTTGTATACTCTTATTTTTCTATTACGAGATATGTCTTTGGCCTAAATTATTTTTCATGGCCCCAGCACATCTATTGCTCCTGGTTAGTCTTAGGTTAATTTTGGTTTTTTCCTTAAATATCTGATCATTAAGGGTACCTAAGTGCATATATTTATCCACCTTCTTGAATTCTACAACTGATACATCCTCTATCTTTAATTTAAAGGGCCTCTGGTGTTTACTCCTTTTTTGCTCGAGATTTCCATGTTCTTGGATTTATTAATATTAAATTTAAGGCCCATTTTAGAGCTTTCCCGAATCAGTATTTTTGCTCTACTTGCCAGTTCCTTTCCATTTCTTGCAATGAGAACCACATGTGTGCCGGACCTATTTATCCCACAAACCCTTTTTTTAGAATTATATTAAATAGCAAGGTAGACAGCAGATTTCCTCAAAAAACACCTTTTTTTTACATGGAATTATTCTAAGACTGTACCGTTGCATTTTACAGCACAAATGGTTTTTCTAATTGTCATTTTTACCAATCTTACTATAATTCTGGCATATTAATGTAATATTTTTTTTTAAATTAGATTTTGGCAACCTTTCAAATAAAGTGTCATATCACTTCTTTTGCTATTAAAAAAATTTCATTTGAATTCTGTGTGCCTGTCACTTGATGGAGGTTCATCGAAATACCGAAACTTTGATACTGTTAGATAGTAGATCAAGTTTAAAAATCGACGTGTCCTAGAAATTTTGTTTCTTCGTTAAAATAAACTAAAAAATAAATTATATACGAGGCTTATTAATTTGATACCCATCTTTGGTAAAGAAAAAATTTATTGGCAAGTATATCTACAAATAATTATCTCTATAGTTAAGGCACGTATCCCATTATTTCACCAACCAATGTATACCCTCTTGAAAAAAGTCTTGTAGCTGTTGTTCAACTATTAGTCGTTCGACTGAAAACGATTTTCAGTCGATCGACTTTTAACGCGTTTTTCAGTAACCCAAAGGTTTAAAAATGGCAAGGCAATAAATCAGGACACTAGGGTGGATGCTTTTTTATCCTTAATTTGTTACGTTGTAAATCTTCTTTCACTACTTTGGCAAAATTAGGCATTGTGATGCAAAAGAATGAGACCATGTGAGAGCTTCCCTGTATATTTTCGTCTTATTGCTCGATGGAACTTGTTCAAAAGTTTCATTATATAGGTTTACGTTGATATTCCCTCTAGGCTCAGTAATCTAAACCCTACAAGAAATTTTTTATGGTTGAAAAAAATGTTAGCATGACCTTGCTTGCGGAAGGTTGAACTTTATACTTCTTTGGAGGTGGCGAATTTACGTATTTCCATTACATCGATGACATCTTACTAGATGATTCAAAATAAGAATACCGAGATTTCTCACTAGAAATTATTAAAAAAAGAAAACCATTACTGTTTTTTCTGTATTCCGTGATATGATGCAAAGATATACTTATTCGCAATCTTTTTTTGTCATCTGATTAAGGTAAGGAACCCATTCTACACACTTTGCTGTAAATCAGTTTGTGTACGATACTATAGACAGATCATATGCCCACATCAACATTTCCTGAAATTGCTAAAATTGAAATTTGAGCATTTTCTCCATCAAGCCTTCCAAACATGCCACATTCCTGTTTATTGATGCAGTATACGATGCACCTGGTCGCGGCTTATCATTCTCTCCTCTTTTCTTTCACATTATTAAACCATTCTTCGACACCATTGCTTGATAGTTGGACACCCCAAAACTTGCTTTTCCATACGCTGCGTGCATTCGCATGTGAATCTTCAATGTTTGCAAATCATTAGCACACAAAAATTTAGTGACAGCACGTTGATTGTATTTAGACGAATTGGTAACAGCAAACGGCATTTTTACGTCGAAATACTTAAAACCGTAATTAAAAATAAATGATAGAAACTGATCCGTGTGACGTTTACAAACAGAATTTCAGTTCTGTAATGATTACAATTGTTTTCAAGTATTTACATACTGTGTATTTTAAGGTCGGATGTAGAAACAAACCAATTCCAGTTTACCATGTATATACCAAAGATTACAGCCAAAGCAAAATACGAATCCAGCGGAGTTCTCATATTGGTACAAGCTTCTGGAGGAGGAAATTATTGGGGAGAATATGGTAAGATATACAGCTGAATAGTGCTGTTGTTAATGAAGTTTTAAAACAAGTTAATTTAAACATGAGTGGTTAAAAATATTTGTATTGTTTGCTATTTTTAGAGGGTGTAAAGATCAAGGTTTACCTAAAAGGATCACCAAGAGTAATAAACGATAAAACTTATCTTATAGTACAACAAATGAAGATGGATTTCAGTGTTAAGGATATTAAAATGGGAGTTGATGGTATACATAATGGAAACACTGTTTTACGTAAGTTAATATTCCTTTTGGCTATAATATATTTTTAGTATTAGCTTAGTACTAGTCATTACTAAAGGCTAGTGGGTATTTACAATATCTGGGACATGTAGTGAGGGAACAGCGATATGAACTGCTAAAGCTGATAATACAGGGAAATATAAGAGGAGGAAGGAGTATAGGAAGAAGGAGAGTGTCATGGTTGAAGAATTTAAGGGACTGGTTTAAATGCAGTTCTATAGAATTCTTCAGAGCAACCCTAGATAAAGTAAAGATAGTGATGATGATGATGATGATGATGATGATGATGATGATGATGATGATGATGATGATATAATGATGATATCCAACCTCCTATTGGGAGACGGCACTTAAAGAAGAAGCAGTGGCTATTTATAAAGTTCATTAAAATCGCATAATAAATAACGCCGTCAAGCTTTCCTCTGATATACTTTAATACCAAATGTTCTCAAAACAAATTTAAAGGAATGCCTTAAGAAATCTAACCCTATTATAGAATGAGAGATAAAGTTTATTTATCTTTAATTTTAAAATTATTTTTCCTTACTTGAAATTATTCACTTCATAGTCTCAAGTATACAAATTACTCGGAATAATACTCAGAAGTTTAACAAGATAAAAAATAAAGTTCTGATAAGAGTTTCACACTAAAAAGAACAGTTAATGCACCTAAAAGGAAAAGTGTACAAATGCTCCCTTTCAAGAAACTAAGTGGAAAAGACTGGGTAATATATTAGGTTAAAAATACAAATTGTAAAATTTAAACTAGGTAATGAGATACTAATCTCTTGTATGGGGTACGAACCCCCAAAGAAGAATATCCTCACTAATTCTTTTTCCCCAACCCCTAACCGAAGATGGGCTGTATAACCCTAACCTGACATATAACATATCACCATTGCCCTGGAGGAAATGTCTAACTACTATAACCGTAGTAAACCTAGGCTAATTCCGAAGCTATAGCCAGCATCTCTGACCTGTACTTGGGTGCAATAGGCCGGTAACCTGTTTAACTTAAATTCATCTATTACGAACGCTACGAACAACGTACAAATCAGATGGGCTAACAGATGACGACTAAAGCTATGGAGTAAGAACTTAATGAAGGAGTTGCGATTGGGAACCTGGGATGTGATTGGGAACCTAACCTAACCATACTGCAGGCGGGCAAAATTAAAATTATTGTCCAGGAACTGCAGTAAAACAAAATAAATAGAGTCGCTCTCCAAGAAATTGCCGCAGGTCGATATAGGGTTTCACTTCAGTTAATGAAAGGATGTAAAATACACTTAAGGGCTAAATTTCATATTACAATTATTAATATCCAGCCCCCAACAGAAACAGTAGATGAACTAGTAACCGATCATTTTTACGATTAACTACAAGTAGAATGTGAAAACGTGCAAAAGAGAGATGCAGTTGTTTTCATGGGTGATATGAACGCTAAGTTGAGAAAAGATATATTAGAATTCTTTGGTAGGTATATTTCACATGATATTGCCATCAACAGCGGTATAAGAGTGGCACAGTTGGCAAAAGCACATAAACTTAAAGTAGTTAGTATATGTTTCCCCCACAAAAATATTTATCAAGAAATCTGGATGATACCTGGTACTAATAAATTTAATTAAATTGATCATATAATAATATCTCAACAATGAACAACGTCCGTAACAGATGTTAGATCTTATAGGGTAGCAAATTGCGATTCATATTCATGTTCATATCGAAGATAAATCAAAGAGTATTAATGATAAGAAAAGAGAAAGTTGCCAAACAAAGAAAATTGAACACACATGTTTAAAAATTATAAGAAGAATCAGTATCAGCAGAAAATAAAGCTAATAATAAATGAAATAGGAAAAGAAAATAACATCAAAGACGAATCTTTCTATTTCTGTACATTTTTTTGATAGCCACAATTCCTTCACTTCTTTAATTATTTGTTTGGTGTATCGACCTCCACTTGTTATTGTATGTCGTCCTCAGGATCTCTTCTAACTGTGCATTTGTTGTTTGATCTGTTTAGATTCTTTAAGTCTTCTTAGATTAATTCTAGATATTTTGTGGCTACAAACAAGTTTGTGGCCACTTGCTATATCTGCCTCTGGGTAAGCATTAGCCGATACTTTGGGGTCTTTGGTTTATAATAATGTAGTCAATGTGGTTTCTTACTATGTTCTCACCGTCATCTCTAGGGGCCTTCCAGGTGTATATTCTTTGGATTGGTAGATTGTACCATGTATTCTTTATAATGAGTTCGTTGTCCTTAAAAAACTGAACTAGCCTCCCCCTCTCTTATTTCGTATTCCGAGTCCATATTCTCCTACTACTTCTCCATATCTTTCTTTCCCTTCCGTCGCATTGAAGTCGCATAAAATAATACTAACTTCATTTTTTTTGGTTTCTTCCAGTCTTTTGTCTAATTCATTGTAAAACCTATCTATTTCTTCCTCTGTGCTATTAGATGTAAATGTGTATGTTGTAATGAAGTTTATATTGCACGACATGGCGTGTAATTTCATAAGTACAATTTGTTCGTTATTGGTATAAACCATTTGACTGATCTTTCGGTTTCTTTGCTAATGACAATTGCTACTCCATTGCGATTTTTTGGGGTGTAATCTCGAGAGTAATAGAATACTTAGTTGTCTATTACATTTCTACCGCTATTAGGCCATCGAAAAACAATCATTGGTGAGATCGCCGTACTGTTTGCTGCATACCTAATTACACAGTACTGTGATTGATTCTTTCTCGTTCCCACCTGCGATTTCATAGAGATTTTTAAAATTTTTGGAGGGTCCCAGAACCAGACCCGACGTCATACATATTCTCATGCCGGTTTCATCCGCATTAAAAATTCGAGATGGATCTGACATCATGTCTAATACTTTTGTGTCCGTTAAGTATTTGATAAGTTCTGAAAACCATTGCCTAATCCCATTCTCAGTAACCGAAGCACGAGATTTGGAGATAATTTCTGTATTTCGTTTTGAAATTTCTGGGTGCCTCTGAAGAAACAGCTTTAACCACTTATCTCCTGGTCGATCATCAGTAAAATTATTTTCTCTATGGGATTCTTTAAAAACCTTTTGCACGGAATCCTTAACCTCATTGGGATGCATAGGAAATCCCAATTTGGCTTTTGCTACAATCCAATTCACTAATCTGTTTCCCTCGTAAGAACTCAACACTGTAGAGGGTCCCATTTTTCGAATATAAGGCACTTTTCCCGTTAATTTATTATGTAAAGTGGATTTCGGTATGCCATATTTAGAAGAAGCTTTATTTAAGGAAATTGTTTCGGCTTGAATTTCGTTGATTGCCGCGTCTAAAGCTTCCTCCGTGTATTTAAAACGTGAATATTTTGCAGCATTCTAAAAAAATTACTTTGTAATAATTGAATACCAGTAAATGAACACCATTGAATGAACACCGTTCATTTACTGGTTTACTAGCAAATATTTTAAATTAATATAGGTTAGGTTAGTTCACTTCTATTTAGGTTATGTTTAAAGTCGATTTTTGCTTAAAAAAATAATTTGTGTAAAATCCAATAAATGAACACAGTGTTCATTTACTGGATTTTTAGAAAATTTCAAACCAGTAATTGAACATGCGGAAATTATACACTATTTAAAATATTTAAAACATAGTCTGGTTTTTAACTTAAATAATTATGTGTATAGTAAGCCGTAAAGTGCCCACTGTTCTAATATTTCCGTAAATTATAAAGTTATAGGCTTAGAAAACAACACGTGTTTACCGTACTTACTACACAAGAATGATACAAAATGGCCACTTGTTGACACCTTCACACTTCAACGGTTTTTATTAAACTACTTTACTAATTCGTATCCCCGTTAGTCAATGCACTGTATTAAGAAGATATGTGCGTAACATGTTAAAAAGAGACGAAAGGGCTTCTACGTCGCGTATTCTTATTTTTAAAGAAATTTAACAGGCTGTTCATTTATTAGATGTTGTTCAATCATTGGTCGATTGACCCTAGTAAAGAATAAATGTAAAGAAAACGGAAATAGAAAAAACTGCCAAGCAAAGAAAAAGAGCTTTGAGTCAATGGTCACTATTAAACCTCCTTTTAAAAAACTTTATTCTGCAGGAAAAGCTCAAGCGAGTCACTAGTGATTAGAAATTATTTTTTTATATCAGAACCCTTTGTTTTTCCGTGTATTTCAGTAAAATAATTTACTTTCTTTCTTAACAATATATTTTGTCATTTTCATTAAAATGCATGAGGTTCCGTTTACTTAAATCACCATTAGTTTAATACATCAAGCATAACAAATTTGCTGCTGATACAAAATAATATATTTAAAAGACGATAATAATATATTAATGAATGAACCACAGTTATGCATTAATTTGTAAAAAAAATGGTAATGATAGATATTAAATACTTATATATTTTTTTTGTTTTTTAGAAGCCGCTCTTAACTTATTTATCAACTCGAATTCCCAAGAGTTGTTAAAGGAAATGAAACCTCATTTGAAGAAGAAATTGTTGATTCTCATGAGAAATTTTGCCGATAAAGTATTCTCACAAGTACCTTACCAAGCATTTATAGCCTAAGTTTTTAGATATAGATTATACGTACTGGTAGAATTTAAATTATGTCATTAAGTGTTTTTAGTAAATTATTATTAAACTGTTTATATTTCATTAACGCATTTTAAGATAAGAACAATACCACACGAGCAGAAATTTTGGCGAATATTTTCTTAAACATGAAAAAAAGACGCTACGCCCTTGGCTACATATCTATTGACTAACATCCAAAATATTATCGATTTATAATGGTCAAAATGAGTCAATATTCACAGTCCTAAGTAGTTTTTATTTAATAAGTACGTTATTCTTATTTGTATTAAAAACTACAAGCTAAAACAACATAAAAACAAGCAGTAAACAACTGAAACACAATAAATGACACTAGATAATATCAAATTGAGTGAGCAGCTATAAAATTAATTGATAGTGAGATTGCAAAACGAAATATAAATTGGGACATTAGTGCCATTGGGTGTCTCCAATCTGACAGAAGCTGCACTAAATAGTCAGTCAGCTGTTAGTATAGGATTTATTAGAGGAAAATTGTGCTAGTTGAATTGAATTTAATTTTAATCTTCGACGCAACAAACACTACTTAAATATCAGATACAGGACAGTTCTATAAACTAAGGTACTCTTTATTGAGAATCACCTTCCCCCTTAAGGAATACATTCACTCGAACTTCTGAATTCATAACAATATACATATAATAAGGTTTTGAATTCAAAAGTGCTGGTGAATGTATTCTTAAGGGGGAAGTTGACTCTTAAGAGTACCTTAGTTTATAGAACTTTCCTGTATCTGTTATGTAAGTAGTATTAATTTGTTTCGTCGCAAATTAAAATTTAAATTAAATTAAATTCAACTAACAGTAGTCCAGTCGTCAGAGAGTTAATTCCTAAAAATCATACGAACCCCAGACTTCCTCCTAAAACCCCCCTGGCAGGGGGTAAAAACGCAAAAAAAATCGATTTACCAAGAATCTGTACACCATAGCAAAAAAATTTCAAGTAAGAAATGTAGCTGAGATAATTTTTAAAAAAATTTTATCAGCGACCGGAAATTTTGCATGTCAGTTACTCGCGCGAAATCAATGTTCAATAAAATTTGTATCAGCTCGACGGTAAAAATTCGATTTTTTTTATACAGCTTTCGTATGCAGGTTTTGTATTTTGCTGAGAATAAACTCAGTTTTTATAAAAAAGCTACATAAATTAATGTGGCGCGATTCTAACTTTCCATTTTCAGAGATCAGTATTTAAAATCTATGATATGAAATTTTATTTTCGAGTTGTGGTAACAAATATAAGGCATTTGAAATATGAATAAAAAACGCAGAATTTAATGTTATAGATTACAAACGATCACACATCACGGAAATGAATTTAGGAAGACGGTTTTGGGTGTATTTTATTGCGGAAGTTTTGTTCTTTTGAAAAACGTACTGGTCTAATTTGAAAAAAAAGCTTTAAATGTTTTAGATCGTTGTTTGAAATTTTAAATCTAGCGTTTTTTAAGTATAATTCAAACGCCTCATATTTGTTGCCAAAACTCAAAACTAAAATTCCATGCTATAGGTTTTAAAGGTTAGGCTCTAATAATTAATGTTGGACAGTTAAAAAGAGAGAGGAACAACAAGTACATGTGGCGAAAATAAAAAGGCTAAGGTGGATGAGTGCATTGATAAAAAGGCATAAAATTAAAAATGAGTATATTCGAGGAAGTCTAAGGGTGGCACCAATTGATGCCAAAGTGAAAGAGCATAGCTTAAGGTGGTTTTGTCATGTCCCTCGTCTAGACGTTAATCATGGGTACTGGGAGCGGGGCGCATAGGCAGGATATGCCGGTAAAGAGGATTGACATTGGTATGACTCAAGAAAAGACAATACATTAGCACATACCTCCGTTGTCATTAGGGCCAAATTGATCGAATCTACGGAATGCTACGGAATTCTCCCCTATCCACCTTATTCTCCAAGTTTTGATTCCATGCGACTTCTTTGTGTTTCCAAACTTAAAAGTCGTCAACGCTACAGGCATACTTAGCAGACTTCTAAAGAATCTATTTTTCAAAGGAAGGAAAGAAGTTGCAACGTATTTGATCAAGTGCATCCAGCTAAAAGAAAACTGTGTTGAGAAATTTCGTTTTCTGTTGCCGGCCAAGTACATATCGAGCCGCTCTCGTAGATACTATTTGCAGGTAAATAAAAATGTGTGCTTTGATTGTACATAACGAATATTGATTCGATCATCTTGTTTTTAAAAATCTATTAATTCAATATAAATAAATCCAAATAGAGATAAAGCAAAATGTAAAAAAAAGAACAAAACTACTTTCTTTAATGTTTCGACATTACGTGTGGAAAATTTTACCTATAATTTTTTACCTCCTAATAGTAGAAAATTATCTAGAATTAGATGCTCTGGTAAAACGGGACAAAGTTTTGCGGAATGCTTTGTTAAATGTCTATCATTTTAGGCATGTCTCTCCTACTCTAAGTGACGTAAGTACCTTTCTAGAACTGTTGCCATCCTCGCTACAAACTCGTCCTTGGGATTGGTAAATGTGCATTTTTTAAATTCTCCCTTGTATCGCATGAGTTTGCGAAAAAGCTAAAATATGTTACTAATATATAAATATATATTTTTATATATATATATATATATATATATATATATATATATATATATATATATATATATATATATATATTGATATTGTATTTTTGGAATCAATTAGCAAAGTACCTTTGAAAATTTTCATACAAATAATATATCCTTTAGAAAATAATTTTGCCCTAAATTATATAGCTTTTACACATAAAATCAACAAAAAAAATCATACAAGTATAGTTAAATTCATTGTCTCCTGTACTTTACTAAAACGTTTAACTTTAATTAGCCGGAGCTTTTCGATAGCGAAAACTCCTTTCGTGGTTGTCCTTATAAAAACAAGACTTACAATAAAAAACGTCCTAACAACCGTTTTGATCTCCTTTTGGCTGCCAAACTCTCTTTAATTATGAATCTCCCGAGGAATAACCATTTGTTTTTTTACTTAAATGGAAGCAGCAGTATTTAACGCTGGTGAATCGTTTGTGAATCGAAAAAACCAAGTGATAAAAATGACTGGATGACACCAGATATTGTAAAGCTCATAGATGAAAAACGAAAATACAATTAAAGAAAAACACAAGCAAATGATGAAACTAGTAGAATCTCAAAACAAGAATCTAAATACAAGAATTTAATATGAAACACAATGCATATATTATAAATAAGTAACTGAAAGAAATTACGAGTAATACACTTATTTTTCTTCTTTTTATGTAGACATGACTCTGTCTGATTTTCAATGTGGTTCCAGTAAGTTGTCGTTCCATCCTTATCGTGGTCTCTTGCCGACTTTACTACTCTATTTGTTGCCATTCGGCTTATATGATCGTTCCATTCTACTCTTCTATTTCTTACCTAGTTCTTAATGTTCTCCTCTATGCATCTCCGTCGTATATTTGGACTTCTAGCTCTGTCCTATAGTGTCTTGCCATCAATTTTTAAGTGTTTTCCACATAGTCCCCCATAGTGTCAGGTGTTTTCATCTCTGCTGTTTTCTCCAGCCACATCCTTTTTGTCCTCTGTTTTGTTCATCATCATCATATAACGGGGGTCCTACGGCGATTGCCGCTTCCCGCATTTCAGCCTCCATCTTTTCCTATCTCTCCAATCTCCCTCTTCTAAGTCTCTAGATTGCATTGCTTTTGTAATTTCTCTTCTCCAGGAATTTGGTGGTCTTCCCCTTTTCCTTCTTTCTGGCGGAACATACATTAAGGCTTTCTTTGGCCACCGCTCCTCCTCCATTCTCATCACGTGACCATACCATTGTAATTGCCTTCCTTGTATTCTATCTGAAAGAGTATCTCTAATTCCTGTACGGTTTCGTATTTCCTCATTCCTGGTTCTTTCCATTCTCGATACTCGACATGACCTTCTAAGATAATCCATTTCCACAACGTCTACTTTATCTCGTTCATTCTTTGTCATCGTCCAACATTCGGCACCATATGTGGTAATTGGTTCTACAATTGCTCTGTATACGCGAAGTTTGGTATGCATCTTTATTTTATTAGACCACAGTAATGAATTCAGTATTCGGATGCATTTTTTCCCTTGGGTTATTCGGTTTTGTACATCTATCTTAACTCTGCCATCTGCTGATATGATGCTTCCTAGATATTTATACTGGTTGCAGCCTTTTATGACTGCGTTTTCAAGCCTCAGATCTGTTGTATTTCCTCCATTTTTAAATATTCTGTTTTGCTTATGTTTACAGTAAGCCCCCATTTGGCATATTCCTCAAATAATTTTCGATTCATATAATTTATATCTTCCTCATCGGTTGCAACCACCACCTGATCATCTGCAAACAGCAATGTATACAGAGTTTCTTGTCCCACTTCGATGCCCATAAATCTACATTTATTTCTCCAATTCCTCAATGCTTCTTGGACGTATATTTTAAAGAGTGTCGGTGACAAACAGCATCCTTGCTTTAGGCCTTTAGTGACTTTAAATTCATTTGAGGTTCTGGTTCCAATTTTTACACAACTAACTGCATTTTCGTACAATTTATATATCGCTCGGATATACGTCGAATCCAATCCGGACCTTTTGAGGACCTCAAACATTTTCTTTAACGGACACTATCATATGCTTTCTCAAGGTCTATAAATACCAAATGGGTCTCTCTACTTCTTTCGACACGCTTTTCAATTATTTGTCGTAGGATAAATATATTATCAAGGCAGGATCTCCCGGTACGAAAGCCGCTTTGTTCTTCAATATCTTGTATCTGTCTTTCAACCCTCTTCTTTAATATTCTGCCGTACAACCGGCCCACAGAGCTCGTCACACTAATACCTCTATAATTGGAACAGTCTCTTTTATTCCCTCTCTTATATATGGAGCTTATATAAGATTTATTCCAATCTTTAGGAATTTCCTGGTCTCCACACATACATTT